CCTAACCCTTGAGCTAACCTAACCACCCCATCCACCACCCCCAGCTCTTCACCCTGCTATTGACCACCCCTTATTTGCACTGAATAATCCTATGAATCGATGGGGTCATAAGGAAATGAGGTCCCATGAAGGAGTGATACTACCGCAAAGAGGGAGGGAGCGAGGGAGGGAGCGAGGGAGGGAGCGAGGGGAGGAGCGAGGGAGTGAGCGAGGGAACGAGAGGGAGCGAGAGGGATCGAGAGGGAGGGAGGGAGGGAGGGAGCGAGCGAGCGAGCGAGAGGGGGCGAGGGAGCGAAAGGGAGGGAGGGAGCGAGGGAGCGAAAGGGAGGGAGTGAGGGAGCGAAGGAGCGAGGGAGCGAAAGGGAGGGAGGGAGCGAGGGAGCGAAAGGGAGGGAGCGAGGGAGCGAAGGAGCGAGGGAGCGAGCGAGGGAGCGAAAGGGAGCGAGGGAGGGAGGTGAGGAAGAAGACAGGGACAGGGACAGAGACAGAGACAAGGACCATGAATCAAGAGACCAAGAATAAAACGGCGGGGGGAAACGAGTATCTCGGGGTGTGTTGCGTACATGATGACTCAGAAATAGATGTTTGTCAAGGTAAGAAGGAAGGAAGGGACAGCAAGCGTCTCTTACGGGAGATAGAGCATTTCGGATGTGGCAGTGTAGCTCATGGACCTGATCATTGCTATTCTTCTTCCATCTCATCTTCCTGCTTGCCGTTGTGGTTGGCAGGCATAAAGGGAATGGAGATGAAGAAGTGTCGCAGTCGATGGAGAAGTCCGACCCCTGACGCCATTTTCACACTCGGTCACACTCTGGGCTTCTAGGGAAGAGGAAAAGGTGAGGTGCAGTGACCACCAGGAGTTCAGGGTTCATCCTCGAGGTCCATGGCGAGACAACCACAACAAGCAAGGAGCATCAACAGCCGCAATCAGGTCACAGCAGTGGCATCGAGTCGCGCGACCAGGGGCCTCATGACGCATGAGAGGGAAGGAAGCTTCTTGACGAGAAGACGTTCGGACAAACATGTGCGCGGCAATCATACCATGAACGGGCAGTGACGTGTCTCCTGCAGAAGGCAAAGCGTGAAGTCACTCGAAGAAGAGCTTTGTATGAGGCTCCGCACATGAATCGCAAGCGAAGGCGCTCAGCCTTCATAGTTTCATGCATGCAGGGCAGAACCATCTGGACATGAGAAGAGCCTGAGAGCGTTCAAAACTTCAAAGCATTGAAAACGTGCTTTGATCATGGCAATTGATTGAAATTATACAAGTGAAAGAACAAGCGAGAAGCGACGATCACGCCTCAGGATATCCGATCAGCCCGCGAGGCGGAAACCCAAAGTCCTTTGTCTTGATCCCCTGCATCACAGACCGAGAGTGAGACTCAAACCTCTTTCTCTCCTCAACTTCTTTCTCTCCTCAACTTCTTTCTCTCCTCGACTTCTTTCTCTCCTCAACCTCTTTCTCTCCTCGACTTCTTTCTCTCCTCGACTTCTTTCTCTCCTCGACTTCTCTGCTCTCCTCGACTTCTCTGCTCTCCTCGACTTCTCTGCTCTCACCATCTTCTTCAATTTTTCATCCATTTCGTCCCAGTCTGTCTCGTCACCTTCGTCTTGACACTTTTCATTCTACGAAAAAGTTAGGAGAACACAAGGTCAACTCACAAACTCACTCTATCGTATCCCCCGTAACTCACATCAATGAGCGCATCCCTGTGCCTGCGATCGTGCAAGTTGACATAGATACACGCAGGGGCAAAACCTACTTGGATCCAAGAGCTTGTACGATGTAATACAATCCCTCATTTCCGATGCTGTTCCAAGAAAGATACACTTCTTTGAGGTCCTTGTGCTGTTTGATCCACCTTGCCACGGCCTGCAGGTAGCAGCGCCTTGAGTGAATGGCTAGTTAGATAACGGAGGACCTTTGCGCCGCCCGGTCCAATGCAGTTGTTGCGCAGGTCGAGAGCTTCCACAGACTGTCCAGCGGATTCAATTAAATTGCAAGCACGGCAGTACATGTTACCGAAGCACTGTTGCTTAAGATCTCTTCCATCAATTTCTGACATCCGTCGGCGTGAATGAAATTGTTGCTCAGAATCAAGGTTGAGCAGTAAATATTCTTCTTAAATCCCTTGGCAATGTTCTTTATCTCGTTGTCTCCCACGCCATTGAAAGACAGATTGATCTGATCTTGTATCATCTTACAAAACAAAACAGACAGCCAATCTACCACAGCCGAAGGGCTTGTCTCGATCGCTTTTCCAAACTTTGAGGCATCGTTACAAGTCAACCAACCGGTGAAATCTTCTTCTCGCGTCCTGCAAGTCAAATACATGGTTTCTCTCAGCGGTTGGGGATTACCCAAGTCAAGTCAATCGGCATTTCGTTTTGCATCAGAGTCTAGCTCCGCCTCTCCCTTACTGACCCCCTCCTTGCTACCTTCCCCCTCCCTTCTTCTCCCTCCTCCTTCCCCCTCCCTTCTTCTCCCTCCTCCTTCCCCCTCCCTTCTTCTCCCT